AAGACGATATGTGCCAACTAAAGAGGAATAAGTCTCCTTCCCATCGCATATAAAGTGCTATCCAGTGTGCTGCGTGAACGATTGAACCCAATGTTCAATGACATCATCGAACCATACCAATGCGACTTCAGACATGGCAAATCCACCATTGACCAGATTTTCACTCTGCGTCAAATCCTGGAAAAGACCCACGAAAAACACATCGACACATACCACCTATTTGTCGATTATAAAGCCGCATTCGACAGCCCTATCCGTTCAGAGGTTTTTAAAGCTATGTCTGCTTTCGGCATTCCTGCAAAATTAATACGGCTATGCAGGATAACTTTAAGTGGCACAAGGTCAGCAGTTAAAGTAGGAAAGGACCTATCGGAGCCCTTCAATACCGAACGAGGATTCAGACAAGGTGACAGTTTGTCGTGTGATCTTTTTAACATCCTACTGGAAAAGGTCATACGCAAAGGTGAACAGAAATGGCACTCTGTACACCAAACAACACATGTTACTCGCCTACGCCGATGACATCGATATAATGGGTCGAACATTGCGAGCGGTAACAGCCACCTTTGAACAAATTGAAAAGGAGTTTGCCAAAGTGGGTCTGGCAGTAAACGGCGAGAAGACCATGCTGATGGTATCAACGCGCAAGACGTCCAGTAGACTCGGACCAACTGCGAAACTTGAAAACTACAGCTTCGAGGTAGTTAAAGACTTTATATACCTTGGTACCGCCATAAATAAAACGAATGACATCAGTTTTGAAATTCGGAGAAGGATTGTGATGGCCAACAGATGCTACTATGGTCTAAGTAAGTAGTTTAGAAACAAGGCTTCTTCCCGCCTGACCAAACTCACACTGTACAAGACGCTGAAACTACCCGTGGTATTATATGGATCAGAATCATGGGTACTTGCGCAAGCAGATGAGGCAGCTCTTGGGGTGTTTGAGAGAAAAATTCTCCGAAAGAACTACAGGCCGATCTGCGTCGACGGTGAATATCGGCGTCGAATGAACCACGAGCTTTACAATTTATACGCGGACATCGACATAGTCAGTCGTATTGTGCTGCAGCGACTACGGTGGCTAGGCCATGTTGTGCGGATGAATGAAAATGCCCAGATCAAAAGGCATATAAAAATGAGCCTACTGATGGTTCCCGTAGAAGGGGAAGACCACGAATTAGATGGAAAGACCAAGTAGAAAACAACATCTTGGAACGTGGTCTTCCAAATTGGCGCACAAGACCGACGCGCTTGGAAATCTGTAACAACCCAGCTAAGTAAGTAAGTAAGGTACAGCAAAGTCCCTATATATCTTTCGATTTGCACACAATTTGGCACAACGTACTGAATTAAGTCTGGAATGATGTGTCCAAAGTTTCGTGAAAATCGGTTCAGATTTAGATATAGCTCCGATATAAATTTTCATTTGATTTAAGGGGACCCCTCCCATTCACGGTGTCTATTTTTTTTTTTTTTTTATTTAATTCGAATCTACATTAATTCAAGAATATCCCTACAAAATTTCAAGTGAAAATCTCAAGAACTCTTGAAGACATAGTCGATTTATTGTGTCAGCATCAAGTGACGGCTGAAGGGCTTCTCAAACTTTAAACGCGTTTTTCTTTAAAATTTTTTTGCGAATGGCGGGCACGATAAGTCACAAACTAATAACCCAATCGATTCCAAATTTTAACACGTTTCTCTGTGAGTATATAGCTATCGTATCAACTAGGATAAAGCCAATCGGTGAAGATCTTCCCTATTTATACCCTTCACCCCACTGTGGTACAGGGTATTATGTCTTTGTGCATATGTATGTAACAGGCAAAAATATTCGAGGTAGACCCATGGTTCCTTTTGAGAATATGCATAGAATCACTTTCTGAGTCGATTTATGCATGTCCGTCCGTCTGTCCATGTTAAATTGTAAACAAAGTACAGGTCGCATTTATGATCCGAATTGGATGAAATTTGGCACAGCTCATTTGTTTGGTCCAAGGACGAACCCTATTGAAATTGGAAAAAATCGGTTCAGATTTAGATATAGCTCCCATATATATTTTAGTCCGATTTAAGGTAAATGGTGTGCCAAAGTCCCTATATATCTTCCGATTTGCACGAAATTTGGCACAGCGTACTGAATTAAGTCTAGAATGATGTGTCCAAAGTTTCGTGAAAATCGGTTCAGATTTAGATATAGCTCCCATATATAGTTTCGCCCGATTTTAGGTAAAGAGTTCAATAAAATCCCTGGAAATGTTGTGATTTCCTCGAATTTTGGCACATCGTACTGAACTAAGTCTAGAATGATGTGTGCAAAGTTTCGTGACAATCGGTTCAGATTTAGATAGCTCCCATATATATACATATATATATATATTCATCCGATTTTAAGTAATTGGTGCACCAAAGTCTCTGAAAATCATTCGATTTGCACGAAATTTTGTCATAGCGTATTGAATTAAGGCTAGAATGATGTGTGCTAAGTTTCGTGAAAATCTTTTCAGATTTAGATATAGTCCCCATATATATTTTCGTCGGATTTTATGTAATTGGTGCATTTTGGTATAGGGTACTGAATTAAGTCTAGATTGACACAACGTATTGAAGTAATATAAATTAGTCTCTGGCAAGTTTCTCTGAAATCGGTACAGATATAGATATATAACATAAACGCGTCGTCTGTTAGGATACATATGTAGAATAGTGAAGTGGTGAAGGGTACTATATAGTCGGGCCAGTCCGACTTTACTTCTCTCCTTACTGGTTTTTAACTTTGTTTTTGGTAAAAAATCGGCGATTTTCCAAAAATATTTTTTTCAAAGGTCCTCCATTTTGTTAATTTTAGAGCGAAGTCAATAATCCTAGTTCATACCAGAGCCAGACATGTACTATATCTGACTCCGTTGGAATTTTCGGATTCCGATGTTCCAGTGAGGAGTTATCATGCCCGTCATCAAAAATAAGGAAATTTCTTTAATTATAAAAAAAAAAACAACAACAAAACAATAACAAACATTTTTTGTAAATTATTTTCCTTCCCTTTTAAATCTTCAATTATATATGTGCAAAGTTACAAACCTTAACAAGCATTGGTTTTGATTTACCAGCCCATTGAAAATCTTAAAAATTAAAATCGTGAATGGGAGGGGGGATTTCCCTTAAGGTAAATGGTGCAGCAAAGTCCCTAGATTTCTTCCGATTTGCATATATATATCGTCCCATTTAATGTAAATGGTGCACCAAAGTCCGAATATATATTTCGTTTTGCGCGAAATTTGGCGTAACATACTGAATTGAGTATAGAAAGATGTGTGCTAAGTTTCATGAGGATTGGTTCAGATTTAGATATATCTCCCATATATATTTTCGTCCGATTTTAGGTAAATTGTGTACCAAAGGCCCTTTATAACTTTCGATTTGCACGACATACTGAATTAGACCCAAAGACCCAATATTAAGCCGATTGGGACTTCATTTTGCACAACGTACTGAACTTACTATAACCTACCGTTAAGCAGATTGTCACAAAGGTCACTCATTTTAGATCATCCAAGTTCATGTTAATGGTCCTTCAAAAATGTAATAAAATTTGTTCCGCTAAATATTGACCTATCTTCATCAAAACAGTCATACTTATTTTATGGGGAGATTCCCCTCCTGGTGTAAAATTTGGTGGTGTTCGGGACATAATTGTGGTCTTTAGAACATTCGAAAAAAACAGACAGAAATAAAGTTTTGTGTCCATTTCATCCCCGAAATACTAACCGATGAATACCAAACGCGGTATTCATTAGCCAAAAGCGGTCCTACATGCACAATTTCGTGGCGATTGTTCCACAACTGTGACCTGTATCGTGTTTACAAACTACAATGGACAGACGGACGGACGAGCACACATATGATGAGATATAATGATCGGTATACTAAAAAGTTGGTCTAGGTCTAATATTTCGCTGCGTTACAAAGTCTTGGGCTTCACAAATCCTGTTTATGGTTTCCAACTAGAGAGTCTGTTGGAACACTATTTTTGCGGAGCAAGAATAACTAATACCATAACTAATATATCACCATATTATAATCCCCATATAAGTCGACTTAAGGAATGTTGTATGCACTTCACGTGGTGGAGGGTATAAAAGTTGAGCTCGGCCACGTATTTAATTGTTTTATTTAAAAATAATTTGTAGTTGTAATTATTATTATTATTGTTGAAGGAGCAAGATAACTTCTTTATATTAAAAAAATAATCGACTCTTGTGCGAAAAAATGTTCAAATCACAAATTTACAATCAGAGCTTAACTAAGTTTTCAAGATCCAATCCAATATCATGTTTGATGTTTGTTTTCACTAATCAGGAAATTGAATATACACTCCACTAGCAATATCTTGGGTATACGATGATATCAAGTGTAGGGTAAAATTCCTACCTCCACCAAACAGCTGAAGTTAAACCACTTGATTTATGTAGACTAACTATTTATTGCAACAGTTCGTCTTCCTACAGTTGGGTCAATAGGTCAAAATGGAAATGTCGCCTTGTACTTTGGAAAACTGAAAAAGTAAACAAAAGAAAAAAAGACAAGATTTAACACATAACATAACAGCTATGACTAATGATGTTTCTTTACAAAACTCGACTGCAGGCGGCGGCAGCAACAACAAAAATGCTCCACACCAACTAAAAAGATGTTGCTGCTACATTGCCTTTGGTCTAAACATCATTACCTAGTTGTTTTTTCGTTTTCTTCGTTGCGGTTTTGTTATGCTTTCGATTATGCTTTCCAAAATGCTGGCCGCCATAGCATTTCCATTTTTCCCATATATAAAGTGAAGATATTGGTCTATGCCGAAATTAGTTCACTTACAACGGTACAACACAACGGTGCAACATATAGCCAAGCAAAACAAAACGTTCGGTATTAGAAAAAAACGAAGACGGAACAGCACAATAAAACAAAAGGATTACCAGTCAATCAGCAAGGATTATCCAAGGATGTCTCCACTATACAATATTGCAATATTTTTCTTATGGGCCATTACGCTTCTAGTGGGCACCAGTCAGGCTGGTGTTATTGGCCACTATGACGGCAAAGGTGTTGAATCTCATGATTTTAGCGATGATTTAGCCAAGAGTGCCTCGGCCCAATACGAGTCCTTGGGTTCGTTGGGCGATCATTTGGATGAATCACATTTTCCCACAGACTTTGGCGAAAGTCATCATCAGGGAAATGAATATGCTGAGGGTAGTGAACACATCGAGTACGGTGCCCCCTCGTCCTATGATCATGAATTCCATCAGCCACAACATTTTGAATATAGTGAACATCAATTCCATAGTGGGCTACATGATTTCGAGACAAAACCAGTGCCTGGCATTGATCATGGCAAGGGAGCTCTTAGCTATAGTACTACCTATGAATTTCCAAAGGATAATAAACCATAAGTGAATGCTAGAGATGGAAAAGGTTTTGAAATGTAACGAAAGAAAGAAAAAAAACAAGAAAGTGAATAAGTGTGTGTGTGTTGGGAAAATTACTCAAACTTTAGTGGGGTCTACTACTTTGTGAATGTGAATAATTACTAACATTTTTTCTCGAGTGTATGTGTGTAATAGTGCATGAATGAGTGAACAATTATTTTCATTTTTTTCTTTTTGTGGCAAGGTGTTATATGATGATGCCACAAATCTAGTTTTGTATCTAATGAAAATATTTCATTCATAGCAATTTTCATTTCAATTCATAACATTTCGTTTATTATGGCTATTATATGCACTAACTGCTGTTAAATAGACCAAAGAAAGTATTTTTCACAACTTTTGCCAAAACATGAAAACATGTTTTTCAACATTTTTCAACAGTAGAACATGTTTATAATGGACATATTTACATTTAAATCAAATTTGGTCCACAGGGCCTAAAATAATTCCATATTTGCATTGAATGTTGTGATTATCTAGCCTCATTCCACCACATTTCGCGAATAACCAGTATTCGTCGATGCTCCGTTCCACTGTACCTCACTGTGAGTGCATTCAGCAGTTACACCAAGTGATGGACACGTTCCAGGAAGATAACTGTTCACATTTGGTGTAAACATTTTTGTTTATGTTTGGATTTTTTTTTCATTTCTTCCACACACCATTTCCATTTTCCTTTTTGTTTTGTATTATGCTCTGACTGTGTTGTTTCTATTATTTTTGCTCATAGGTTAATTATCTGCTACCATTGTTGTTGTAAAGTTGTTGTTATTTTTTATTAATATATATTTTTTAATTTTAGTATTTTTTTTATTTTTGTAAGTTTTGTATTATTAAATAATAATTGTATTGTGAAATAAATTAATTTTTAGTTAACTGATAAATGTTGTTTTTCTTTTTTCATTTATTTCGCGTGCCTGGAACCAATTAAATGCCAATGACCTAATTTCCCACGCTTTATAAAAAAATCAAAATATGCAATTCGAATTTTTATGCATTATTGAATAAATTGTCCAAATATTTTAAAGCAATTATAAATAACAACGTATTTTAAGAAACCGTGGTCAGATTTTTCATATAAATTCTGACTGATAGAATCCTAATGGATTACGATCTGAAAATAGTTTGTTCGTTCGACAAATGGGCCAATGACCACAAAAATTACTATAAAGCGGCTGAAACTTAATATATTTGGGCTATAACAAGGGATCGTCCAATATTTGCAATTCTTTGTAAAATTGTTTGCAACTCAAAATATCAAATTAGAGCCAAATTGGTTGAAAATATACCTGAAGTCATCAAAATAATGAAAATTGTGTGCTACTTTTATATAAGGGGACTATACCTAATCATAAATCGATATTAGAAATTTTCTGAAAGCTCACGGGCGCGGGAGCCTCAACAAGCATTTTCAGGCTTATCTGCCCAGATCTTACCATGGTAAGAGGCTATCCGATGGCTGACCTCAAGCCTTCACTTCTAAAACTTTCATGGAGCCGACTTCTATAAACTTCATCAAAAAATAACCAGTAAGGAAAGTTCAAAAGTCGGGCGGGGCCTTCTATATGATACCCTTCACCACTTTGTGTACATACAAGAGATGATAATGTGTACAATATCCGGTTGACAGAAGAGGCATTGAATCTTTGGATGACCATTGAGTTGGAATCGGGTAAAAAAAAAACAAATGTGATCTACATAGATAGTAATAAAAAACCATACACATGCTATTCTGATATCTATAAAAAAATTGCATGTCAATCGGGCAGACTTGCATTTTTGGAGTAACATTTGTATGAAATCCCGTAAAACTTTATATGGGAGATATATGTACATATCAACGATTTTAAACTTGACTAAATTCCGTACGCTGTGCAATATTTTGTGTCAATCGGCCCAAATTTGACTCTCTGGTGCCCAATTTACATAAAATCTGACGAAACTATATATGGGAGCTATATCTAAATCTGAACCGATTCTAATAAAACTTTGCATACATCAATCTGGACATAATTCATGGGAGCTATATCTAAATCTGAACCGATTCCAATAAAACTTTGCATACATCAATCTGGACATAATTCAGTACTCTATAATAATTGTGTCTCAATCGGACAAATATTTGCAGTATGCTGCTCTATTTACATAAAATCGGACGAAACTATATATGGGAGCTATATCTAAATCTGGACCGATTTCAGCAAAACTTCACAGATATCAAACTGGACTAAATTCCGTACGCTGAGCAAAATGTTGCTCCAACCGTGCAAATATTTTCAGTTTGGTGCACCATTTACCTAAAAATCGGACGAAGCTATATTTGGGAGCTATATCTAACTCTTAACCGATTCCAACAAAACTTCGCATACATAAATTTAGACTTAATTTAGTAGGTTGTGCAAAATGTTGTGCCAGTCGGCCTAAATTTGACTCTTTGGTTCTCCATTTACATAAAATCGGACGAAACTATATATAGGAGCTATATCTAAATCTGAACCGATTCCAATAAAACATAAATTTAGACCTATTTTAGTAGGCTGTGCAAAATTTTGTGCCAATCGGCCTACATTTTACTCTTTGGTGCTCCACTTACACAAAATCGGACGAAACTATATGTGGGAGCTATATCTAAAGCTGAACCGATTCCAACAAACCTTCGCATATATTAATCTGGACATAATTCAGTACTCTGTGTAAAATGTTGCCTTAATCGGATCAATATTGGCAGTATGGTGCTCTATTTATATAAAATCGCACGAAACTATATATGAGAGCTATATCTCATGAACCGATTATCCTTAAAAGGGTTCGTCCTTGGGCCAATGAAGTGACATGTGCCAAATTTCATCCAAATCGGATCATAAATGCGACCTGAACTTTGATCACAAAAATACATGGACGGACGGACATGCATAAATCGACTCAGAAAGTGGTTCTATGCATATTCTCAAAAGGAACCATGGATCTATCTCGATTATTTTTGCCTCTTACAAACATATGCACAAAGACATAATACCCTGTACCACAGTGTGGTGAAGAGTATAAAAATGTCATGGAATGCGATTTTTCGACTGATATTGGTGTGGCTGCCTTGGCACTCTCAGTCTCGAACTTTACAAAATCAGATCCCAATCAACCTCTACAAACGATGACGACCAATGTTAATGAGAACAGTATGGCTGCGTTTCTCGACACCGAACGTACAGATGTCTCCTCTCTCCTAACAGAATGGATTGATGGAATGCCGGAAAACAAAATTATCGATTCATCTATTGAAGGGAGTTCCATGAGGAAATCTGCCAGCAGAAGAACACAACAGGGGGGATTCTCCCCCTCTCTCTCTTCTCCTATGGCTTCTAGTGATAAATGATATTTTCTAGTGATGATTAAATTTTAGGTGAGTGTCAATCTTGGTCCAAAGGTGTCAGTTAAGGCTGAGTTTTTGGATATTCGTACTAGAACGGTACGAAAAATGCTAAGAACGACAACTCTTAAATTTGAAATGAGGATCACTGTAACAAAGGTTTTTCTTTTGGAAATTCAACTATAAGTATCCGAAAAGTTCTAAATTTGGTAAAATTTCGTAACATGTGAATGGAAAAAAACTAAAAACTTGAAACTTGGAATGCGAATTAGAGTTGAGAAGTAGGGTCGATATAGAGAGATGATTCTGAAAGCGTGTATCTATGTGTACAAAAAGTTATATATGGTACTATATTTGATAGAAATTGTATTTGGAGGTACAAATCGAGCTAGAATTGAAATTAACATTACCGTCGGAGTGTAGGATTGGGATATGTTCGTAGTTTTGGAAATTGTTTGCTATAATTGGTACAATTTGGATTTGGGTGAGCCGATAGAGTTAGGATCATTGTTGGGGTGTAGGATTGCTGTATGTAGGAAATTTTGGAAATTCGTACTAATGAGTACTACATGGTACCAAATTTGGTTTTGGGTGAACCGATAGGGCTGGAAACTTGACATTTGGAGTGGGATCATTGAAATGACTTATTTAGGAATTTTTGGAAATTCCTACTAATGTGAACTAAATTTGGTACAATTTAAATTTTGAGTGAACCCGATGTAGGAAGTTTTGGAAATTTATACTAATTGTAAATGTGAATTTTGGTGAACCAATTGAGCTGGAATCTTAAAATTTGACGTTAGGATAACTGTTGGGGTGCAGTATTGGTCTTTGTAGAAAGTTTTGGATATTCGTACTAACGTGTACAAAATGGTAGCACATGTGGATTTAGATGAACCGATAGAGCTGGAACACTGAAATTTGAAAATAGGGTTACTGTTGGAGTGTTGGATTGGGGTATGGATGTAATTTTGGAGATTCATACTTATGGATACTAAATTGTACTTAATTTTGGTACGTTTGAATTTTGGGTTAACTAATAGAGCTGGAGGTTTTAGCCGATTTTTCAACCAGGAATGAAATCCTCTGGATAGACATAGATTGTTCTTAGAAGAATAGAAATCCTCTAGTTTGACAATTTGCAGTGTAGATCCATGATTTAGGGTGAGATCCATGAATGGGTGAGTATAGAACTTATTTTCGGTGTATGTCTATAGATCGTAGTCTATATACTGATTCGACTTCGCAGCCCTGACATTCATGTAATAGTGGATATTTTATTGCACCCTATGATGCCTATTACACTTCCATAGAATTTTGTTGTATTACATGACTTTTTAAGTTTTACACTAAAACAATATTTACCATGGTAAATATGTACGCAAATATTACGGCATTTGTTAACTAAAAGGTTCACAACCTACATGAGTATGTAAATCATTGTCAATGATAAAATACTCACTAGTACTATAAACTTTTCTGTAGTTTTTCTTGAATCTACGCCTAACTACTATTTTTAACTTATTGCTTTTATAAAAACAAAACAATAATGGAATTCTAAGAAAACCAGTTGTCGTTTTGTATTTAGATTTCCAACATA